CTGATTATACTTTCACTTTAGTAACAATTTCAATGCAGGAATTTTACTTGTTACAGAATGTTTTACAGTGAGGTATAAGCAGGCTACTTTTACGTTTTAAGTAAAGCATCTGAATGCTTTGTCCATCACTGACAAACACACACACACACACAAACACACACACACACACCACACACACACACAACACACACACACACACACACCTACACATACACACACACACACACACACACCCACACATATACGTATACACATATAATAAATAAATGTAAGAAATTATAACACTATAATAATAATGATAATAGTTACATGTAATCCATGTTACAAAGGTCTTCATAAGGGCAGAAAAATCAAACTGTTTAATCAAAACAGTTAAAAACAGATAAAAACACAAACAAACAAGAAATACAGTTGAAACATAAAAAAAAGAAAAACAGTTGAAACAGATAAAAAAGGAAACAGATGTAAACCAAGAAATTAAATACAGTTAAAAGGAAATTTAAAGTCAAATATAATTAAAAAAGGTTCTCCAATAAAAGTGTTTTTAAGAAGGGACTTAAAGGAGTTCACTGACTCAGCTGACCTGATTTCCTCAGACAGACTGTTCCAGGGCCTTGGGGCCCTGACTTCAAATGCTTTGTCCCCTTTAGTTTTCAGACGGGTCTCTGGAACACACCTCTACTTGATGATCTCAAAGTATGTGCCAGTGTGTATGGTACTAAAAGGTCAGATATATAGCAGGGTTAGAGGCTATGAGGTTTAAAGTAATCAGTACAATTTTTAAATCTATTCTAAAACATGCTGGGAGTTAGTGTAAAGAGGCTAATACAGGAGTGATGTGATCACGTTTCTTTGTTCTTTGCGGGCAGCTGAATTCCGTACAATCTGGAATTGATCAAAAGATTTTTGGATCAAACACGTAAAAGGGCTGTTGCAGTAATCCAGGCGTAATGAGATGAAGGCATGTAAATGGTCTCTTTAAAAGTGAACATAGATCGTATTTTTGATATGTCTCTAAGATTATAAAAACACGATTGCACAAACTTTATGCTCAGCATGGACACTTATTAGACCAAGTTTAATAACTGTAAATACTCTAACTAACAAACTGGTGTTTTACCGTACACGACCTTACTGTTTTAAAGTAAAAAACACAAATGACTTCATGAATGAATACAAAACATATTTATTTTACTTTACTTTACAACAATAAAAGTCATTACACCAATGTTAGGAGGTGGCATCCTTTAAATAGGCTACAATATTGTGTCTTCAGTTGTTCATATGACTATAATCATTTATAATTGCTTTGGCACAAAATGCAGCCTTGCAGATCAAAATAGTTTGCATTAATTTGCTACTGATTCATATTACTCTCAAATGCAATTATGCATATGTTCATAGTGTAAATACACTAAATAAGCGACCTACAATCACAGTAACCTGTCAAATAAGATACATAATAGTTATGTAGTGTTGTAAAAGTTGTCGAATGGACACATTTAGGCTAGCTGGGAAACAATTCAATTTCCTCACAATTTAGAGCAACCACACACAACTGCTGTCCAATTTAGCTGACATGTGAAACTCATAACTGATCAGTTCACAAACACATTAGTACTGCAAGGGTAAGACTGACGACTACAGCTGTAAAATGTTGAGCATGCAGGAGACAGCAAGGGAAAGGGATTCTTCCTGTCCAAGAGGAAGGGTTATTAGAGTGCGAGGTGGTATAGTGAGGGGCAGAGGAAGAGGGAAAGGGGGGCACAGAGGATGAAGAAGAGCCAGAGAAAGGCAAAGATACAGAGAAATCTCAAATGAGATGCGGTCAGCAAATATTAATTAACCATGGCCTAAGTATGGCAGAGGCTTGTCGGAGAGTGTAACCTCATCTGGGCCAGTCCACGATGTCGTCAAATACATAAATGTTTTGTTATAAGTATATTGTGTGCCATAGCTGACATCAATATTATTCAGCTGCCTAAATATACAATGTTATTGGACAATATTACATGGGTAACAGAGTGCACTGTCTGTAAGAGCAATTTATGTTTTATTTTGTATTGGGTGCAGTACTGTAGTGGGCCAATAGGTGAAACCTGTCTGTTTTGGGTCAAAGGTAATTTATAGTTTTTCTCAGTTGCTTAAACATATATGCCCACTCTGACATCACATTTTCAAACAGTTAAGACACAGGATAAAACTGAAGCTCAATGGCCAAAATTACTCAATGGCTCATTTTGTTAGCAAATGCTCTAACACTCACAGAACATTAAAAACATGTAACATAAGCAAATATTTCCATCAAACACAACAACTTTCAAGCAATCATTACACAATGGACAACAAAACACAAAATACAGCCATCAATATGAAACTTTACAAACTCAAATGGATACTGGGAGAAAAAAAAGCTACCAAAGGAAACTTATAGGTGGAAATACCTTTAAAAAATAAATGTAGCTATATATATATTTTATCTTTCACATTTAGTCCATTCATTCTTGACGATTATGCCACAGGTTCTCATCAACATCATACTGAATGTTTTCCCTTGCAATGCACCTTTCTTTCTTTCTTTGTTTATTTGAAAGGGGACAGTGTACATTAATCAACATTAAAACAATGTAAATGCTAATTTTCATGGTAGTCCTCCAGCCAGGTGTAAAAAAGGCAGCCTTAAAAATAATCACAGGTATAAAATCACAAGATAAAATGACATTCAAAACATTATGGTTAAGAAATACAATTCATGTAAATAATTATATAATATTTAAATGCTCATAAAGCATTATACAGGTTTGGCTCTCTACAGCCTGCATTCTTTTTGAATGAGAAGAATGACAAAGACTCTCTGATGGTTTCAGGCACTGTGTTCCATTGCTGAGCTGCTCTTACGGAGAAGACAGCCTGACCAAATGCTGTTTTTCTCTGCGGGGGATAATGCAGTCTTCGCTCACTGCCCCTCTACTTACCCTGACCTCACTAGATCTAAAATGTATAAAATCACATAGTGGAGGAGGTGCTAA